AAGCTGGTCGAGAAGCCATGTATTTACAGCACCTGGAATTAGAAATAACAGGTTTTTGTAACAAAGTTATATTATACAGTGATAGTCACAGTGCACTGAACCTGGCAAATAACCATCAATCTCACAAACGCTCTAAGCACATTGATGTGCGATATAATTTCTTAAGAGAGATAATTAATAACAATGTTATTGAAGTAAAATATTTGCCTACTACCAACATGTCCGCTGACTTGTTAACTAAGTAAAGCATAATAATTTTTTTGAAAACACTTGGTATCCTTAAAAAAGGATTTTATTTTTATTGTACATAAATTTAAAGAGTTCTAATGTATGTAATTTCCTGAGTTGCTTGTTTGTTTATTTTGATATAGTTGGGGTGTTAATATTTAATATCAAAATAAGCATTTTAACGCCATCTACTGGTATCATAAGGAATAATAAGGATTAAGATAGCTGTCTATAGACTGTACATTTAAAGTAGAACATTGTCTATGAAAATGAACTCTCTCAACCGCCATTCCACGAGTTTTATTAACATTCTTTTGACCCTAACTATTGGCTATACATAGAAGGGTGTATCGATCCCGGTGCTCGGCTGCTCTTTGCCGCAATCTTCTTCGACGCATGACGAAAGTTTCTTTGCTCACATAAGAAATAAATTAACTTTGATTTAGCACTCATCTCAGATAACTCGTAAAACGAATATCAGCAACCATTTGTAACAAAGTTGGCGGCTGGTAAACAATTAGCGGGAGTAAGTTAGGCCCGGGGCTCACTTCTGTTTGTTCTAAGTCTGTTTGTTGACTATACACCATTCACCGGATATTAGCCCTCGTCCGGATGTATGAAGCACATGCTCAGACTATTGGGTCTTTCTAGAAACGGTGACGGTAAATACGGGCTACAATTGTCTGATTTGCCCTTTATAGAAGTGGAATATAAAGAAGGTCCAATATTGGTTCTCTTTTTGTATTTTGTTTTATTGCGTGCCATTGACATTCAGATGAAGTGAATAAAAATGAAGCATATTATTTTGTATTATATTTATTGCTACATGTAGAAAAATAAAATGAACTTGTTATTTGTGTATAGCGTACATCATAACATATGTTTGTATAGATTTTCAGTGTTTAAATAGAAGTTACATTCTTATTAGAACTAGATCAGAAATATACACGTCAACAAGTCTCAATATTTCCTCCAATAAGAAACCCGTCAAACGTTGAAGGATCACAACTTATTACAGTAGCAAATGAACCGATAACAGACTTATACGTTTCGCGATTGACGGAACAATATCACAAAGAGCCCGAAATTGTTCAGAAACTAACATTTATTGTTCTTAGTTTACGACGAACAAGGAAAATGGGATGGATCAGATTATGTTGGATAGAGTATTCTGTGCTGCAGGAAAATTCATACAAGCCACGGGCGCCTTCCGTCGCGTCGCTCGTAGTTATGTCGAGGAAATGGACCGGAGTCCCAAACGGAAAAGTCAAAGTGAAGACTCCCTGTTTCGCTGCTAGCGTTGTTTTCATTGTAGTGAATGTGTAAACAAGGAATATGGAGACAGATGACCGCTTTGCCCGCGGAGCTAAAGGCTGTGATCAATCTTACGTCTTGGGATTTATGGTCTGGTTTGCAAAACCTTTGCAGAATTTTGGCGAACTACCGTATTATTTTTAGTCTAAAAATTGTTTTAGAGACATATTTTATAAAGTATAAAAGTTTTCCAATCGACCTAAAATTTCTCAAAATTGCCTTCAATATCTTGACCCAAATTTGACCAATTTCCACGGCAAAGTCGAATTGCTGACGCAAAGTAGTTCGGTTTGGGAAAGTTTATTCATACTATTGCCAAATCAAAAGCAATTTGGCACAAAACCTCCACAAGTCTAGTTCAGTTCCTGAAATACTGGACTTGCTAAAAAGTTTTGGTTAGCATTATCGTGCGCTTCTTTTTATAGGAAATCCGTAGCATTATATATGAGACTTAGAACGAGGATAATATAAGTTACCTCGTTAATGATTGTGATGTACATTTATATTGTAACTAGCTGGTGCCCGCGACCTCGTCTGTCTAGAATAAATATTTCGAGTAGCCTACTGTATTATAGACAGATATCTTTAAGATTTATTGTTGCGATAAAAAGCAGCCTATGTCCTTCTTCTTGGTCCTATCTATCCCAATACCAAAATTCATCAAAATTGGTTAAGCGGTTGAGGAGTGAAAATGTTACAAACAGAGTTACCTTCGCATTTTTATTATTAGTTTGGATTTAAGTTATTCTTCAATGTGTTTTATTCGTCAAGTGCAGTAACAGTATGTCTCAAAATATAACGCATTAGCTGAAGCTTCGTTCAGTTGATTTATTTCCTTAGTTTGTGTATTTAAGGCTGTGGCAAAAGAAATTATTGTTTGCCAGACTGTTTGCACAGTGTCATTCGCGCTTCCTACTATTTCAATCAAGACAAAATGTTTTGTGCCGGTTTTTTTTGTGAGAAAACTTTGGGGTGACTTTGATTTGGGCTTCGAACTTTTGCTTTTTTGTTCCATTACATTTGTTCAGAAAGTGGTTTATTTATGTATCGTCCCTATAAAGGACAAATTTTCTTTCTTATTGCTTCGTGTTTCAGTATATATGATTCGATTGTAATTATATATAATACGTACTCTTAGTTTTTTTATGATACAAAATGACGAACAACAATAGTTGTAGTGACGCTCAGAGCTTCAAATCATAAAAATCTGAGACATAGGTTGACGAGTCCGGTGTACCGAATTTCACCAGCATCCTTAAAAGCCGTAACGCAGTAATGCTCATATTACTGCTTGGCGGCAGAAATAGGTAAAGTGACAGTACTTCCCTGGACGAACTCTTTCACATGGAACTCTATTGCTACTAAAAAGTTTGACCAATTACATAATAACATATGAGTTAGAACTTTACTTCTACGTTAGAAAAGCATTAATTTCATTCCTATTGCAAAACTACAAAAAATCTTTTTGGAAATCTTAAAAAGCTGGAATATTATATGGGCACAGTAAATCTTCTCAATAATCCCCGTAAAGTTTCATATTACTCTGAACATTTCATTGGGTACTGCTAAAGTATGCGTTTCCAAGGCGACGCGAGCTGTTTTCTATCAAAGTTACGAATACTTTTTATTGTTATCAGCATAATGGGTGAGAACGTCGTTCAGCTGCTTTGTGCGGTGTTTGTCATCGTTTTGAGACCTGACAGTTTTCTTGATAACGTGAAAAGGGATAGACGTGGTATGGAGCTGAATATTGAATGAAGATGGCAGACATTCGCCAGAAATAGCTTGTGTCGCTTATATGTTGCGTCACGTGCCTTTCCTTTCTGTGATGAAGGCACACGTAAATTGTTATAATATGCGTTTTATAAATATCTTTACATATATGTATATCTTCCTCAAACCCAGTAAATGACAATGGAAAAAGCACTAACCGTACAGTACATAGTACACACGTCAGCACATCAAGCTACACATTGACGTATCTTGTTCCGTTGCACTGGAGGCGATTTTTGAACAAAAATGTGTAGTCTGATGTGCCGTTGCCTGTACTAAATAAATTAAATGCTAAAGGCCCAAGCAAGTATGCCCTTTTTGTACAAAAAATGTATTCTTCTAGATACTCTATGGTCATACGAGAAATGGAATACTTATACGACTATAGAATACGAGCCCTATGTCGGGCTCGGCTTATGGCGCTTGATCGGGTTAAAATTGCTCAACCAGCTGGCAGTAAAGAATATTTAAATTTTTTCAGTACTAATACATTGGGCATTTTTTCAATAAATAGAAAGAATGTCGAATATGACAATTGAAATATTATATTATTTAGTGTCTGTATAAATTTGAAATAATCTTTGTAGCTATCATTATTAATATGATCTAGGTGGTTATTATACAAATTGATTATAATTATTATTCAAAAATATCTCACTGGATGTCACTAGCGGCGACGAATGGCGAAAAGTCAGTACAAAGATCTTATAACAAGAACAAAGAAGAATTTCGACGACTCGGTAACTGTACCCGTGCCTGAGATGGTTAGAGCAATGCTACGGTGCACCATGGTCGTGGGTTTGACGGACGGTGGACGGTTGACGGTCCCATCGGGTCGACGAAAATTTTTCTGTGTCCGATTTTTATATTCATAATCATAACAAAATTAGTAGAGTTACTTATTTCACAAAAACAAATCTTAATAAATATATAATTATTATAATTTTGAGCTGCGATGGACTCGCAAACTTTCGTTCTAATTTAGGTACTTATACCTTAGTTTGATTACTATGAACCTAACTTATCTACTATAAAGGTATTTTGCTGTATAAGTCGTGTACATAAACAATCAATTTTTACCCCCAATAATGATTGAAGACATGCTGTGTATGGTTCTCTGAACGTCTAAGCTTGGAGTAGTATTAAGTAGAGTAGGATATAGAGTTGATTTCCGTAATAAGTTGATGTATTAAGTAAAAAGTGTACAGTATAGTTTTGAATGCTTATCTGTGGCCTATCGCTAGTGAAGCGAGTCAACTGTCTTTTACGAGCATTTACACGTGCATATGCAGGTTGTTAAGTTAGCAAAGTATTGTATGCTGCAAAAACCGTACATGCCAATTTTCAGTTAGATTAGAATATATTTAGCGCTACATTTGCACTGGGCATTGACGTGATTATAAGAATAAATTATTATTGTCTTGATCTGAGTCACTTCACATATTATGTTCATTTTTATGTACACGGGGCCTTAATAGGATATTATGTTTATTATTATACATTATATTAAGTATTGATACATCCTTTAAAACGTTATATTGTAGTGTTATCAAATGTAAAACTTTAATAAGACAATCTAGCAGTACGACAAATGCAGTTCATGAACATGATAATCGTTATCTGATAAATAGCGTCAGAAATAAAATGCTAATGTTTATTAATTAAGTGTATTTGTTATCTAAACTTACTTAAACATATAAAACGGTGGCAGAATAAAAATGCATAATCAAATGACATGAATACATTATGTGAAATATTTACTTAAATAAAAAAAAACTCTTAATTATTTTACTATTTTAAACATAATTATGTGATTGCATACTTAGTTTTTATAGATTGTAGCTTCTTCATCTTCTTTTTTTACAGCTTGGATTAGCACCAACGACATAACAGCGTTTACAATCTGGAAAAAAATTCAGAATATTTTGAATTCATTTGTGTGAATTCTAGTATCAAAATTCTCTTGCCACTATAAAAAAATGGTCGAAAGTTTCAACGATTTCATTTTATTTTTTATGTAACCTGAAATAACTGCCTCCGTGGTCGAACGCCTACACTGGTCTGCCACACAGAAGACCCGGGTTCGATTGCCATACCGGGAGAAATATTTGTATGGCGTACATTTATTTCTCTCTTGGGTTTGCGTGCAATTTGTGGTTGTCTATGTGTGTGTCCATGGCACCCGTCATACAGAGTTATGAGTGCGGAGTTATGCGTGTGTGTGTTATTATTATTATGATACGTACTTATTATGATTGATGTTACAAAACCTTTAAGCAATAGTCGTGTTAAGAGTGTTTATAACTGACTTCATAAAGAAGGAGGAGTTTTTTAATTCGACTGCAATTTTCTTGTTTGTGCATGTTACACGATTACCCCGACATTAACTGCCTCCGTGGCCGAACGGTTACCATGCTGATGACTGCCACGCAGAGGTCCCAGGTTCGATTCCCGGGCCGGGAGAAATGTTTGTATGGCGTACATTTATTTCTCTCGTGAGTTTGGGTGTAATTTGTGGTTGTCTATGTGTGTGTTCATGGCACCCGCGACACAGGGTTTCCCTAGTGCGGGGCTATGTTGAGTGTGTGCGTTATTTATTAAAAAAAACAAAGAAAAAAAAATTGTGAATCGATTTCGGCGATTCTTTTTTTCTTGGAAAGAGGGTACCCTAGTAGCGGTCCCATTCTATATAATCCTATATAAAGGGGATAAATCTGGTTTATTGGATTTCACTCATTTTCCGTTAACCATTTTCAAAATGAAATTTGGCGAAATAGATCGAAAATACCACAAACTTTTGAGGTGAGTTTTTCAGTATTTAAATTATAATAACTATAATAAGTTTACGAATTCTTTAATACCGAATGCCTAACGCGAGGGCCACGAGTCGCGACGCTCCTAGCGAATTCACTTATTATATTGCAGCGAATTTCGCTACGAGCAAATTTGCACGAGCGTTCGGCGCGTTTTCTGCGGGTGACCAGAACAATTATAAGAGAAAGTTCCATAGTGTGCACGAAACTGCTCACTATGGAACACAATATACTAGCGTTTGAAACAAATAATTTTGTTTTTATTTGTTATTTGGGTACTATCGAAAGCAAATACTTATTAATATCCATTATTATCATTAATACATGTTTAAAGTACTTTATATTCCACCACAAATATTAAACAACATAAACTATTTAATTCGTAAAAATAATTCTACTTGACTTCTCCCCACCACCGAAGACGCTGTAAGCGAATTTCTAAACTTCGTGGGTGGGCGCTGCCGCTTTCAGCGAACTGACGCTTCAAGCGATCTTTTGTGGCCGAGGCAGTTACTGTTGTTACTGTTATATAAGTATAATATACTTACAGCGATCATGCAAGAAGCAAGTACGATACCAGCCAGCCATCCAGTCTTGCCTTCCAAGTACCATGTCATCTCATCAACGCAGCCGTGGAAGTAGGCGTTGCCGGTAACCGAGTCGCGGCATTCAGAAGGCAGAGGCTTGTTCAGATTGATGTAGTCCATTGGGCCATCCGCCCCGCAGCAGCCGATCTGAGATGAATAAGTCAAATTGAAAATCTTCAAATTCGTTTGAGAAGAATTGCGACATGAAACATGAGATTATTTAATTGAAATTCGAGATTAGTGGGATTGTATTCAAAATAATGATTATTATAATGGGTTAAATTTAGAAACAATAAAACCATTTTTGACGGCCTCCGTGGTCGAGGGTTTGTACACCGGTTTTCATAGTGTCACCATATCGGACATCCCGGATTCGATCCCCGGTCGGGTCAGTGTAGAACACGGAAGAAAGAAATTATGTGGTCTGTGGTGTAGAACTAACTTACTCTTGGGATCACAGCAACGTATGTGATGTTGTCTAATATTTATTATTTATTTATAAGTCCCCCTGCTGGGCACGAGTCTCCTCTCAGGCGAAGGTTTAGGTTAGTAGTCTGCCACCCTGGCCCAATGCGGATTGGGGACTTTACACGTTTTCCGAAGGTTGTTAACCTTCTTCGACGTTGTAGGATGTTTTCCTTCACCGAAAAGCTCATGATAAAGTTCAAATTAAATATCGCACATAAATTCCGAGTAACTCAGAGGTGCGAGGCCGGATCCGAACCCACGACCTCCTGCTTGAGACGCAGTAGGTCAAACCATTAGGCTACCATAGCTTCATAAATAAACCATTACATTAAAATAATTATTTCACTGGTTGTGTTATATTATATGTACATTTAAAAATAACATTCTTCAGCTTTCAACATGCAATTTTTATTGGAATACCAAGAGTTGAACAATTTTTAAATATCAAATTTAACAACTCGTTTTGCAGGTTCAAATAAAATAGTTTGAAAGTTATCCAAAACAGTTTTTCACAAGTTCGAGTACTCATAAAACGTTCGTATTTCATCTGGTAGTAGATAAAATGCAGAAGTTTTTGCACTAGACCATTTTTTGTCCTGTTCGGGAAATTCAAGCGTAGCAAGCAATATATCTTTGCATTGATAGATGGGTCTTTGATAGATTTGGAGTTAGTACAGAAATTATGGAATAATATGCCACTTTAACGTTCATGTTTGTGCATTTTTCTATTTCTTTACTTTAATCTGTCGTTATAAATCACATCACAAAGGCGCGTTCTGAATGAAATTTAAAAATTCCATGAGTTTCAAAAAAAGAACTTCGTACATTTTGCCAAATGATTACACAAAGGTGTAACCATTTGGTAAAACTGAACTACGTATTTAAAAACAATATAAAATATCAATTACGATGCTACTTCAAACATTCTAGTGCCCTCTGATTGGTTAAAATGTAAGCAGTAGTTGGCCGATCAGAGACACTTCTATTATATCTGTTTGGTTTTTATTTTGTAGCGTTTGTTTGGTGTTCGATTGACTCTATTGTCGTTGATTGTTAGAAAAGAAATATTGTTCGTATTTCATTATTTTAATTTACCCGTAGAAAAAAATTTATATGCAATCATTACATAATTTTTTTTATTAAGTCTTAAAATCTCGCCATTACGTCACCACAAAACCTCGTGGTTTAAACACCGTACTCGAGTAGAACCTTCATTATGCAACGATTGCATAAAATACTATTGTCGTTTGTTAAAATGTGAGTCTCCGATCAGAGGAAAATTTTCATTAAAGACATAAAAACTGTGTTGTCATTTTCATTTGGAAGATATATTACTCTTCATATGGCTAATCAAATGGCTTGCACACAAAGCCATTTGATTAGTGTTCGTAGTGTTCCACTAGACCGACGTGGCGATTCAAATACCGAATCGCTAAATTAGTTTTAGCCATCACTAGTAGCGTAATCGACAACTTGGGGTATGAGTATGGGGAACGAGATTATCAACACCAAAACAATCCCGGAGAGCTGTGGTCATGTGATTGGGGGTATCAGTTAGCCCGGCCCACTTCCACTCAACAACCAGTGAGTGAATGCATTGGTCCTCGCATCGTTGGTTTTGTAGATGTTTGGAATTAGTGCATGCTTCTATTTCAATACTAATAAGCAGAACACGGTATGGTAATTAAAGATTGGATGGTAATGGGCAACTGGAAATCGCAGATTACAAACCATGATTAAGAGTTCTCTTTCATTATTGTAAAATGATTTTAAGAACCAATAAGGCGAATTGGGGATCACGTGTCTTGGGGCAAAACGTGTGCTTTTCGACACACAGGTTTTCATTGACTGTAATCTTAATAAATATGTTTTATTATAATATTATAAATATAATACGTTTTTATAAATACACTCTTGGCTACAAACAATCTCGACACAAAAAATGCCTGATCACTCAGTCTTAAATAGCCTTAAACTGTAGTTTTCGGAAAACACACACACTCACATATGCATTAGGAAAGAGAAAATTATGAACTTTATGCGAGTGGCAAATCTTCGAAATTCTAGAGGTCCGACGAAGGAACGGTGAAACTGGAAGTAAAACGAAAAGTTCATAATATATCCGATAGCAAACCGACAAGTACGTTATTTTTCTGGGGTGGTTGAGATTTCGTAGCTGCGACTCCACAAGAGTGTCGCTGCTAATAAATTTCTTTGCTTTTTGCTCCACTGAGTCCAAGACAGCTAACTGGTATTGGGCATAGCCGTGTAAAAGTGACAGAATTACTCGATACACAATCGAACTTGTGCTTTCTAGGGATTTGAAAGCTGTTCAGATGTAACCTTGAAAATGATGCATAGTTTTTTGGCACAAGTTTTTGTCAAGTACTCGATATAGGAACCAAAGTTGGAGTTGGATGACAAGTGAAAAGTCGGACTGACGTGGAGGACACAATGTTTTGAAGAGAAAAGGCAAGCTTGTGTTTTGCTGGTTTAAACCTTTGTCTATTCGCATCTCTCCTATCTGAAACGTCTTTCAGGCCTAGATTCAACTGTGTGATCGTTTACACAAGATCTCTTCACTGTAGGTACATGCACCTGACGCATAATTTTCTATAAAACTTCCTATTACTGTGCTATTGTCTGCATATTCAAAGATACCGGGTATCAGCAGCTGGTAACTATTTGCACCAGGAATACAGCTTAGTGGATACTTACTCCTTCTTGAACCATTCTCATAATTTCCCGGCTGCCCTCGTGCTGGGGATTATTCATCATTCTTAGGATGACCTCTCTGATTAGGGGCTGAATGCTGGAGTCATAAGTCGAGAAGTCCAGAACCACACAGGAGCCAACGAGACCGAAGACAAAAACTGCTGCTTGAGTTGCTATGTACTGAAAGCAATTAATAGTAAATATTTTTTTTATTTGACTACAGAGGTTACTTACATAGTTTGTGTGTACATTACAATAGGATTTTGTTTTAGCTGTCTACTGAATTTGTATTGTGTGACTCACTTTTAATGTGTGTGTAACTATTATTACTCTGGTTAAAAAAATAAATGAACGATTTCCATTATTTATTCATGAAAAATTAAAAACATTAAAATTGTACACGTTTTTCCACTTACCACAAATAGTAAGAACGTATTTTCCATCAAAGCAGCACCACAACCCAAGAAAGCAACGACCATGATTATCAAAGAACAGATGAGAATGAGGTAGATTCCAATGAAGTACTTCTGAAGCTCCAACATCCTCATCCACTCGTTGAATCCAGGCTCAATGCATATCCAAAGACAGAGAGCGAAGATGGATACACCGAAGAGCTAAAAATAAAGAAATGGATACATTAGTGAATGCATTTAATTAGACAAAATGGAATTAGATCACAGTGGATGTAATCGTAGTAGATCCTACTGGTGCTGGCTCAACTGTCGTTGTTAATATACTGTAAATTTGATTGTCAGACTCATCCATCGAGTATATAACCAGAAATAGAGACGAAATGTTATTTAATTTGTTTGAAAACTATTCTGCCATATCATTACTGTGACAACTGCGCTCCGATTGGCTAGCCCGAGTTCGAAACAATTGACGGGTATCGTCAACGGGTGTCGTCAACTGTTTCACTTCAAATCGACCAGTTAACTTAAGCTTTGCTATAATGAACGAAAATTGCAAAATTACATATTTAATATTTAATTACCGATGAAATGTGATTCCGTTTGTTTTGTAATTAGATGTTTTGCTGTTTTTGGAAAGGATCCATATCAAACACCGTCACGTAAACAAGTCTGCAGTCTGCGAGCATGTCATGGATAAACCTATACATTCAATGAATTTTAACAAACCTCAGGTCCTTGCAAAAGAAGTCCGTTATCTACCCAGGATGCTGTGAGTGGACATTGAAATTAAAAAAAACATCCTAATTTCAACAGGGAAGATGGTTTCTCCGTACCACCAGTTTGGGATCCAGTATTTCCTCTGATGAAAAATCCCAAACAGACACAAGACTGCAGTACTGATTAATATGTTCTAATTTATTCTAATTTCCATTATTAATAAATTTAACTTAATAAAAATACATATTGTCAAAGTGAATTAATTTGTAAAACAGATGTAACGTAAATTGGAATGTTTTCTGGGAAATTAAAAATAAGGTATTTAATTATTAACTTTTGTAACTATAGTGGGAAAATAGGGTGGTTTGCTATATAAATATTAGACATAACTGGTTGATGACTTTACCACCTCAGTCAGCCGTGACCATGGGACCAGCAAAGGGCCTTCGGGCCCGTTGGTTTGTTTGAAAAAACAATATACACTACAATATACCTACGCGATTTAAGCCCGGAAAATATTATATTACTATAGTCATTTCCTCTAGTAATAAAAGAATTAGAGTATATTTTTTACATACCTGCAAAAATGATTAGAATCTACTTTTTAAACGACTTAAAAAAAGGAGGAGGTTCGCAATTCGATTTTTTTTTGTATTTGTGTTACGCGATAACTCCGGATTTGTGAATCAATTTTGATGATTCTTTTTTTATAAGAAAGGGTACCTCAGAAGTGGTCCCATTTCAATTTGAAGAAAATATTCCACCTCTAAGGGGGGCAAAACAGGGGATGAATGAATCCCAACAGCTGGTTGCGTCCCATTTGAAACATAGACATTGCCATATGTAATTATTGTGTTGTCAGCATTGACTTACAATTATATGGACGTCGGGTCCGCGCTAAAAAGTGTCCGCACTTGTAAGGCGCTAAAATCGTATACAGAGCGCCAAACTCCGCTTTAGTCTTCATTTGTTCTACTGACAGCGCGATACTACGATGACATTACAATTTAAATTTCGAATAGGTTGACTTGGGACATTTTTTTCGTGGTTTTTGTATTAGACCCGTCGTCCATTTATTTGTAAGTCAATGGTTGTCAGTCATTTATATTCAAGTCATTTATTTTAACGACAAATGTTTAGTTGTACAAGTGATTAATAAATTCTATTTAATTTCGTTTATGAATTCACCGTAATTTTTTATTGAATAATATGTGATAGTAGTTGAGATACACACATCAAAAAAAGTTTGCGATCAATAGCATAAGCTCCTATAATTCTTTAAATTTAACTTTATCAAGAAAAAATCTATGTTGTATGCTTTCTTTAAATAGGAATACCCTGTTTGAAATTAAAATATAAAACTATTTTTTATTATTTATTTTAAAAAATTGAGCCATTAATCATAATGTAATAGTGATAGAAATTTCATAGAAAGAAAAAGACTGTTTAATTAAACTTAAACAACAATTTATTATTAAAAGGTGTGAATTCAATATAAAATAACTCCTCCCCTGGCTCGAATACATGCGAAGATCCTCCTGGGCATGCTGAGGATCAAGTTATCCAGCATTTCCTGGGGTAACCTATCCCATTCTTCAATAGCGGCTTCCCTGAGCTCTGGAACTGTCTGGGGACGTGGCTCACGGTTCCATACTGCTCGTTTAAGAGCATTCCACGCGTGCTCTATTGGGTTTAAGTCGGGCGAGCCGGCAGGCCAGTCTAATCGTGTGATATCGTATTCTTGAAGAGCAGCATTGACTCGTTGAGCTCGATGTGCGGGCGCATTATCATCGACCAGTACAAATTGGTGCCCATGGTTTACTCGGAATGGTCTGACGATATCATCAATAGCAACTGCTTTGTACATGTCTGCTGTCATGAAGCCCCGATACGGGATCAAAGGCGTTCTAGCTCCAATCATAATGCCACCCCAAAAGGACACCGATTTTCCGCCTTGCTGAACTGTTCCAGTGGCAGTTCTTTGTCTTTCACGGTCGCCTGGTCTTCTCCAGACACGGACACGTCGGTTATCTGGATGAGTGCTGATTCGGGATTCGTCAACGAAGAGACAGTTTTGCCAAATGTTTTCGTCCTCACCTTCTTCATTTTGCCGAAGTCTAACCCACTGCAATCTTCGTTGTTGACGTTGCCGGGAATTGAGCGGAGCTCGCCAAGACCTCCGTGCTCGTAATCCAGCCTGGTGCAAGCAATTGCGAACGGTCTGCGTGCTAACTTCAAGCCCAGAGGCGGCCCTGACTTCTGCTTTTATTTTAGTGGCGTTGATTGTTGGATCACGGGCTGCCAGCAATCTAATATAGCGCTTTTGGGCAGCTGTCAAAACAGTTGGGCGACCGCTGCGGGGTCGGTCAGCTAAATTCCCCATTCCGTGATACCTCTGCAACGTAGCCACGACACAGGATTGGGATATAGCAAGTCTGCGTGCTATTACTCTCGTGGTACACCACGAGAAGAAGACACAAGAAGGATACATCCTTCTTACCTCAAAGTTACTATTCTAGCTCGTAAAACCTCTGATAATCCTCTTGGCATTTTTTCAATCACAACTTTCCGCGAAAAATATCTTGAATCGCTTATAATTGACTAAATCAGATTTCTGAATGAGCGTAAGCTAGGACTGAAAGCCTTTTTATATGAAAAAAACAATTGAACGGGGTCATTGTTTTATGTTCTAATTTATTTTTAAATAAAGAATTTAAAAAGAAGAAAAAATCATAATATAATTAACAGTAACAAAAAAGATTTCAGTTTTTCGAAGTGATCGCAAACTTTTTTTGATGTGTGTACATGTTTTGGGCCAAAGTTGTATGGAAGAATAAACGGATCCTTTGATTAAACGCTTTTCGAATTTGGCATTTGTTTTCACAAAACAAAGACCTAATGCTTCCTAAGACAGTTTTCCTGTACCTCCTAGGGTATAGGATTTCCCATACTACATACATACATACTATACACTGAACAACATTGACTTTAATCATGTTGTTGCAATCATTTTGCTTAATGGCTCTGAACATGTTAGAAGGAAACAAGTATTATAACCACTTTAAATAGCATCTTGTTAATTTCAATCACACAACGTGATTGGATATGATTTTTTATCGTGGTCCGTCCTTTAAGAAATTATGTACGAGTTCGTCCAGGGAAGTACTGCCTCCTTACCTCCTTCTGCCGCCAAGCAGTAATGTTACTGCGTTCCGGTTTGGAAGGATGAGGGTGCTGGTGAAATTACTTATCAACCTATCAACGGGCACAGTGGTAGTGTCCCTAAAATCTTTGCGATTTAAAGCTCTGAGTGGCACTGCAACTTGTATGGATAGGCGTGTCGCTTACCACCAGGCGCTCGACTTGTTCGTCCCGTCCCTTGGTATTTAAAAAAAAGAAAGTAAAAAGATATGATACTAAGGGTCATATTCCAGAACTCTACTCATTGCTCAAGTCAGGATCAGAGTATGATTTCAAGCACTGGAAATACGACCCTAATGGCAAGGACTTGAGTATGATTTCTAGTGCTTTGAATCATACTCAAGTCCTGACTCGAGCATTGAGTACAGTTCTAGAATACGACCCTTAAATACCTAATTGAGGTATTGAATGTTTGAACTTAAATAACAGTTTCAACGAGCTCCAAAACTTATAAAAGCCAACTGAAATACAACAGTAGTGGTGACGTCGGGCTAAAAGTTTTATAATCTTATTAATTCGGAGTGCCTTCCACTTCCATTGGGGAGACCGGTATCATAATAGCCTTGTTTTTGTCTTACGACTAAATGAGGGAAAAGGTCACTGTATTAGAAAGTAACATTTTCTTTTATACAGGTTGAATAAATTTGAAGAAAATTCTTAGACCTATTCTATTAAGAAGCCATTGTGTTTAAGATTGTTGTAATTCGCTTCTCGTAGTAAATTGACCATGGGAAATTATTTTTTATGTCTGCAGCGAACCGTAGCAGTCGCTACAAATCTTTTTGTATATATTTTGTGGCCTCTTTGAGTTTTAATTTTATATTTAAATTAGAAACTTAAATGTGATTGTTTTGGCGCCTTTTGCTTGACTTTTGTTAACTGTTTTGCTTTGATAGCTACGTGTTTTCTAATAAATTATTAAACTGTAAGTACTGCAAATGCGTTTTTTCCACGTTAGCGTGGAAAAGGTTTTTGGAAACCGAACTCGACGATGGACTGTGGTGCACCTAACTTTTTATTTTGATGAAAAATAAAACGTAATGACACGTTCAACTACGCGATTTCTCCGGTATTATTTATGTAATCGAAATCCGTTGGTGTATTTTATATTTATTATTGTTGACATTAAATTGACAACGATAACTAATTTTGATTATTAAAACTGTTTTGTTATAGTACAACTGTTTTTCTTTTATCTACCATTTTCCTCGTTATACGCGTGAGGTGAAAAGTTGTTTTTTTTTTTGTGTTTCGCTCGGCAGCAAAGTTGTTTTGCGTCTCGT